ACACCGACTAAGCTAAGACACTGAAAGACATTCTGAGTAGAAGGACAATATAATAGTACACACACAAAGGCACAAACACAAACACTATCTGAGCTATGCCAACACACAATATAGCAGCACAAGATTCTACACACACTCTGGACACATAAGGCACAAGCGAGAAACCACAACACACACAAGTCTGACACTATCCTCTGCCTACTAATGAGTTATTTTTTCCTCCAAACACTTTAATGGTAGTGCTTATCGGGAGTCTAGGTTGAGTCTGAAAAATTGTGGTTATAGATAGAGAAGTCTTTTTTATCAAGATCGTGTCACTCACTCTAAAAGTTACTATGCGTCAGCCTATTAGCGTATTTCACTGCTCATTCGACGAAGAAAAATACATGAATTGGAAAAGCTGTTTTTTACGCTGTCAATTTCCAGATTTTGTTGAGCCTATATATTTTAGATTGGGAAATTAAATCAATGGTGGATCTAAAGCTGTAGTGTATACATTTCACTTTAGAGAGCGTTAGTAATCAATTAACGGTGTATGAATGTAGATTTATGGTATAGGCGTATAATATTTGTCTACCAAAGGCTTGCCTATGCTAATACATCATATCTATAACGTAATTGGTGGGAAAGTACGATTTAATATCATGTAACTTACGATATTCGAACACCAGGTGTACAGGGTATTTAAAATGTCAAAGTAGACAAAAGTAACCTAATTTTGGCAGTGTATCTTTTTAAAAATGAAATGTATTTACTCCTGCCCTTAATTTAAGATGGTCCGATTACAACAAAACATTTAATCATTTTACCTAAAATCTGAATCAACATGTATTCGATGTCACGATGGCCACAAATATGACAGTAATATAACGCTGTCGGTGGAGAGAGACCACCATATGGAGCTTTTAAGAAAAGATATCTAGAACAGGAACACGCTATAGTATGAGAATAAAACATCATGCACCAGCAGCCTCTCATCCCGCTGTATGTTCAATAAAGGATCATGTGCGGTCACGCTGTTCAGGTCCACAAAAGACTTGAACTTATTTTCTCGTGCCAGTTCACAGAGTTTGTACATTTAGGTGCCCAGGGCATTGTGATCTAGACCGACAGGGTATTATGTGAATTCACACCTTTAGCACCACACATAACTACGATGGGACGTTACCCCACATATGCGCATATAATATTGTGTTCTTCGAATCGGTACAACCATCATCTGATTAGTTGTCTACGATATACACGACGTTATGCGATTAAGTCAATGATGGAAATGCCGAGCGACGTGTGTTGCATTGTGTAATGTGTGCCTGATCCTGTCTGTTGAAGATTGGATTTATGTTGGTGTAGTTATACGTGTGTTGATTGGTGGAGCTTTTGTGTGTATACTCATTGTCTTCTTACATTTTCAATCAATATAACTATCACATCAGTCAAAAATGTACTCATGTAAATTAGATCCAAAAATCAACTTTTATATGCGTGGGCGCGCTTTTATGGTAGCTGCACCAAATATACGTACACCATAGCGTGAAACAATATAAGCGATAATATATGCACAACTCGCCATTCCTTATTGTCCCTATCAAGATGTTCACTCGTCTCAGAAAACACCCAGAACAAAACTACATCGCACTGCGCCCACGAGCTAGGAGAGAAGAAGATGGGAAAGATTCTATGAAGGCTGACCATGGCATCCTAAAATAATGATCCATTATCTTTTGCAGGTATCTGGTACACAAGCCGGAGAGCCTCGTGGAAATAAAAAGTTTATATTGGACAAATTAGAGAAATCACTTTTTGCTTGATTGTTCCTTGTATCGCCACATTTCCGACGACACCTAGCGCACCACCCTACAACACAGATCTGTATCGAATTCGCATAAGTTTATGAAAGCCTTATAATCCATTGCGATCTTCCGAGAGGAGGAAAAAATGAAATGTGTGGGCGATCCGAAGACTCACGTCAAGATCCATCCAATATAGTTCGAGCCGAACACAAATTTATTATACCACTGGCCCAGAGCACCAGAAAGTGAAACCCTTGCCAGTTGTGGTGCTAAAGGATTGATCAGAACGAATGTCATTAAAATTTAGGATTTCACCTCCTGGGAAACCCAAGCAGGTCAGGCATCGCTGTGGCGGAGTAGGGCCTTCCACATGGATTTGGCGGCTCACAACTACAAGGAACGCGCACGCGAGAGAGCACACGCATGGTCAACCGCCCAGAATTTGGCATAACAACATAAACACTCGCCGTTCCATTGGCAGGAAATGGCGAGGTGTTTACATGGCAGCTGTCCAGACCAAACTCATGCAAAAGGAGGCAAATATTGGGTGTACGTGTTTTTCTTAGCCAGCTGAACTAGTCTTATATGCGAAGCATTTTAAGCCTGCACAGTAATGCTTCATAAGGGGTCACGTAGTTTTGGAAAACGCTTCTCCCCCGACCACCTTTCCAACATTAGATTAGGCATGAATGGCCCAGCTGTGTGGAGTGAAAGAGAACAGGGGTTGAAACCCATTGACATATATTACATATAATGGACAGAGCTTCTCGGTCTGTAAAATGAAGCCAACGTGGAAGTAAACGATACAATGCAACGTAGAAACGACCCGACTTCTACAGTAAACAGTTTCCTAATGAGTTTATGGTCTCCGTTGCTGGTTTGAAGTCTTCTTCCATACATTATTATGTTAATTTAGTAAATGATGGTCCAATTTAGAGCAAAATAGGGTGTGGGTGTGTCTACCTTGTGATTGACAAGTCATTCTCATATGACAAACTGTCATGACGGCAACCATAATGCCAAACTCGAGGCTCCACAAACCAATTGGTGACGTCATGATTTGGTTCTTCTCTCTTCTCTCTGTAGCTCCCTTTTTCATTATTGACACACTTATTTCTGTCAATTGTCATGTGAACAACCAAGCAACACAATGAATGTCTACCAGAAATGACTCCCTCCTCTCTATGGTGGGCTGGCTTTTAACTCTGCCTTCCAGTATTGTGGCTCAGAACAACTATAAACACTTTGGATTTCCAACTAGTTCTTTTCAAGAATAACCCGACGCTTAGCCTCTTAAGCTCTGAGGTACCATCATTATGAACTCCTGCTGTGCAGCACTTCCGAGTAACTTTATATCATGGTGGGCCCAAA